TAGGAGCCGGACCTGCTACTGGTCGCTTCTGGGGCACAGTGTGGTCCACGGTGCCAGGACAGGCAGGAAGCCTGCCTTAGCATCCCAGCTGTGCCGCTGATCAGGAGCCGCCCGAGGTAAACCCACGCCCCAATCCCCTGCCCCACCCCTGAGTCTCCCCCAAACCTGGAGCCCCCTCCTGTACCCCAAACCCCTCATCCCCGGTCCCACCCCAGAGCCTGCACCCCTAGTCCGGAGCCCTGACCCCCTCCTGCACCCCTGCCCAAGCCCAGAGCCCCCCTCACACCCTGAACCCCAACCCTCTGCCCTGAGCCCCTCCCACACCCCAAACCCCTCATCCCCAGCTCTGTTGGGTCGCGGGCATCAACAATTTTCTTCAACGGGGTCCCCAGAAAAAAGTTTGAAAGCCACTGTCCTAAAGGATCCTTTCCTGGCTCGTTGGTTTCTAATGGAAGAGGTTACATGGATTACAAAGGCAGAAGGGACTCCCGTGATCAGCTCGTGTGCCCACAGGCCATACGACTTCACTGAATTCATTCCTGTTTGAACTAGATTTTTTTAGAAAAACATCCAGTTTGATTTAATATTGCCAGGGATGGAGAATCTGCTACAACCGTAAGGAAGTTGTGCCAATGGTTCCTTCACCATTAAAAATGTGTGCCTGATTTCCGGTCTGAATGGGCCTAGCTTCACAGCTATTGGGTCATATTATACCTTTCTCTGCCCGGTTGAAGAGCCCCGTATCCATTGTTCCCCTTGTAGGTACTTTAAATAAACTGGGGTCAAATTACCCCTTAATCTTCTCTTGGTTAAACTCAATAGACTGACCTGCTCGAGCTCTGGACTGTTCCCTCTAAGTGGCAGGGAGGTAGAACTGTATGCAATGGAGCATTTGGAATTTGGGGTTTGTCTACACAGGGAAATTGACTGGCATCGCTATAGGGAATAACTAGTCTAGTATAGCTCCCCATGTGGATTCTCTATTCCAAAATAAATAAGACCTGAGAGTGTCCACATGGTACTCCTGAGGGCATTCTGTGCCAAAAAAATTAAAAATTCTGCGCACAATATTTTAAAAATCTGCAAATTTTATTTGTCAAATAAATGTGGAGGCTCCTGCATAGCATTGGGGAGCACAGGCCACTGTGCAGCTCCCCCATGCGCCCACCGGGACACTGACTCAGCGGTGAGGCTGCACCCAACCCTGACACCGCACAAGGAGCGGGCCTGCCCCAGAAACATCCCAGGGCCCTGCCCCTCTGTGCCAGGTGCACCAGGTGTGGGCAGGCAGGATCTAAGTGTGGAGGGACTTATTGGGGGTGGGAGGGGTCCAGGTATAGGTTGAGAGGGTTCTGTGTGCGGTATTCTGGGTGCGGGTGGCTCAGTGGGTGATATGGGTGCAGGGGGGGATCTGGATGCACAGGGGCTTGTTGCGTGGTTCTAGGTACAATTGTAATGGGACTCTGCAGGGGGGTCCATATGAAGGTGGTTGGGCTCAGCGGGAGGGCTGGGTGTGGGGAGGGATAGAGCTCGGTGGGGGGGCTGGGTATGGGGAGCTCAGTCGGGGGGCCCAGATGCTTGGGAACTGGGGGTCAATGGGGTGGGGATTCAGGTGCAGCTGGTTGGGGCTCAGGAGGGTGGGGATCTGGGTGTGGGTGGCTCGTTGGTGTGGTCCAGAGGCAGGGCATTGGGGGGAGGGTTCTGAGTGTGAAGGGGTGAGGCTCAGCAGGAGGGTCAGGGCATGAGGGGGTCTGGATGCACAGGGGCTGGGCGGATCCAGGAGCAGCTCCCTGTACAGTGATCCCTCCCCGTGCAGCTGAGGAGCGATGGATGCGGGAAGCACGGGGGGGGGGGGGAGAGTTTGCAGAGCTTCCTACAGATGGGGGAGAAATCTGGGGGTGGGGCCCTGGATGCTGTGCAGGGGAAGAGGAAGTCCCATCCTCCCCAGCCCAGCAGGACTAGAAGCTGCCAGTGCAGGATAGGAGCCACCAGCCGGGTCTTCCCCAGTCCCGCCCCTGCCCCACAATGATTTACCTCTCTGCCAGCTGCCTTGGGAAAATACAAGGGCTTTCCTCTGCATTTCCCTGACATGTTGGTAGCATTTATTGCACAGGATTTCCCCTGCTCAACAGAGACATTGGTTGATGAAGCAGCCGTGGGTGGGGGAGGCAAAGGGGAATGAGGAGCAAAGATTAAACTGGCGAACTCAGAAGTGAGCTGCACTGCTTAGTGAGAAAGTCCCAAAGCTGGCCTCCTGTTGGAGCTAGCCTGGGAGGGCTGGGGTCGGGGATGCTCCAAGTGATGCACCAGGCCCCTGGGGGGAGGGGGAGGGTCATGTGTGTCAAGGAGCTTCTTACATGGGGGTGTGGGAGGGAGGCTAAGCAGGGGTATGTAAAAGGGAGGGAAATTGAGGGGCAGGTGACTATAGAGGGGAGATGGGAAAGCATGGAGGGAGATAAGGAAGGGCTGGCAGTTTGGTCATTGCCTATGTCATGACTTGCCTTGGCATGTCATGACATCACAGTGGCTTTGTTGTGACATGGTATCAGGCTGCCACAGAGCGGTGGCACTTACCACGCACCTGCCGCTATCACATAACTACTGGGGCTGCCCTGCAGTGCACCATGGCCATGAGACTTCTCAGTCTGCTGCCCCCTCCCAGTGCATCACGGGGCTTCTCAGGGTGCTGCCTCCCAAATCCTAGTGCATCAAGGGACCTCTCAGTATGCTGCCCCCACCCCAGTGCATCATGGGTAGAGCCCTACCAAATTCATGATCCATTTCACGGTCATGGGATTTTTAAAAGCTGAAATTATGAAATTTATGACATTTAAATCTGAAATTTCAGTGTTGTAATTGTTGGGGTCCTGACCGCAAAAGATGGTGTGTGTGGTGGGGGGGGCGGGGGGGTGTCACAAGGTAGGGCAGATTGCAGTACTGCTACCCTTGTGTGCTGGTGCTGGTGGTGGCTCTGCCTTCAGAGGTGGGTAGCTGGAAGGATGGTATTGCGACCCTTACTTCTGCGCTGCTGTTGGCAGGGCGGTGCCTTCCGAGCCGCTCTCTGGCTACCCAGCTCTGAAGGCAGCGCAGAAGTAAGGGTAGCAATACAGCAACACCCCCCCCCCCCAATAACCTTGTGACCTCCCTGCAACTCCCCTTTGGGTTAGGACCCCCCCATTTGAGAAATGCTGGTCTCCCCTGTGAAATCTGAACAGTACAGGGTAAAAGCAAACAAAAGATCAGATTTCACCGGGCGGGAGACCAGATTTCAAGGTCTGTGGCATTTTTATTGTCCATGAATTTGGTAGGGCCCTACCCATGATGCACTGGGGTGGGGGCAGCATACTGAGAGGGCCCTTGATGCACTAGGATTTGGGAGGCAGCACCCTGAGAAGCCCCGTGATGCACTGGGAGGGGGCAGCAGACTGAGAAGTCTCATTGCCGTGGT